GTCACGTGACTGACAAAGACCGATTTAATAGCTTTGCTGATACTTAACCTGGGCCACTAGACTGGTGGATACCTGGATTTTAACAGCCGGTCCAGGAGCCCACCAGAGGTGAATCAGCAACCGGTAAGTAGATAATTCAAGGCTATAATTATCCACCTAAGAACACTAAATTGACCTTGCCTTCGATGTTGAATAGGATAATAATTAACTATAACTCCAGTTCTAGTTAACCATCTATTCATTATCTGCAGGACATTATTTTTGCACAACAGTATAAAGCTCCCTAATCACAGTACAAAAGTTAATGATTTTACATATAGACAACCATATATACATACATCTTAGGACTAAAAAACATCTCAGGCTGAGAAGTAAGTTAAGAAGTAAGTGGTTTTCTAGTAGACATGAATAAGAAATGGGGAATAACTCTTTGCACATGTATTTGATATAACTATTTTCCTGCTGTCCAGTTTGAAGATAAAACTATTATGTTCATCTAGATTGCTAAAAATAAATCTGGCTTTTCTGAAACATTACATTACTCTGCTTTACAGACATGCTTAGCCATATACCTGTGTTTTTGGGGATTTTTCTTATCTTGGGGCATGCATCCCTTGCTGATGTCTTACCACCAGTCGGTAAACTCTGCTTTCAGATATATATTTCCTCTTGCATGTTTTCCTGTATGTCTTTTGAAATCTGACTGTATTTTCAGGAAAAAAAGAGACTGACTTCAAAGAGGACTTTGAAATCATCACCCAGACAAATTTTGAACAGTTGCGGACAGTGAGTGACAGATTCAAATTCGTTGGCCGGAGCTGTAAAGAAATCCTGGATAAATATGGTGAAAGAGAAGGTAGGCATGCTTTATGTGATAAGATGTTGTTTTATACAGAACTATAAACAAATCGATATTTTCATGCACCGATAAGGAATAAATAGATTTAGTTAATTTAGGATTCAGTAATTTCCTAAGCATATTTGTAGTACAGGCAGTAGGCCAAAGCCACAAATAAGAAAATCTCTGTATTCATGAGTCAGTGGGTCTAATTTAGTGAAATGTCTCCAGATGGGATATACTACCTGACCACTAATAATGGGATGAAGTATCAGACTTTCTGTGACATGAACACTGCTGGAGGTGGCTGGACTCTGGTGGCCAGTGTTCATGAAAACAGCATTTTTGGAAGATGTAGTGTGGGGGATCGATGGTCGAGTCAGCAGGGAAACAATCCAAACCTGCCAGATGGTGATGGAAACTGGTCCAACAGAAACACCTTTGGTCTAGTAGAGAGCGCCACGTCTGATGATTACAAGGTATGCAGGTCAACCTGGAAAACAGGTACCTTGGAAAGCATGTTTGATATATTCATTATAATCTGGTCGGACTGTCACAGTAAGTGTGATTTTTGTCAAATCTGGCATGAGTTAGATTCCCATGTAATGTTTTAATGGACTTTTGAAGCTATTCAAAAGCCCCCAACTGGGATTAAAATAATTAAACACAAGATAATAAAATAATATGACAGTCATCAAGACACATAGGAATAGATATTTTTGAACTAGAGGGAAAAATAAAAAATCTTAAAAGTGTGTTGTACATTGTGCCTGAATCAGAAAATGTTGATGAATTGCTTTAAACAGTCTCTTTGAAAGGAGACTGTCTCTAAACAGCTCTTTTCAAAACTCTAATCAGCGTTGTTTTTGACAGCCATCTTAGATCTTGTCTTAGTCTTCAGGAGGAAAACTATTATTAGTCTTAGTCGCATTTTAGTCATTACAATATGTGATAGTTTTAGTTGGTTTTAGTTGACTAAAACTTAAAAAGGTTTTTGTTTAGTTTTAGTCCGTTTTTTGTTGCAAAAAAAATGGAACCTTTACAATTGAGAATAACAACCAGATTCTTTACCAGATTGACAGCTCTAGCATAGATACTAATATATAGCTGGAACAAGGAAGAATGCTGCCGTGCAGTTCATCATTGATGTTAGGCAGAAAACTTTGATTTATGGAATTCAAATAAACTTTTTTATGAATGAAGGCTCTACTCTATAAAAAAAGAGTCTCACAAAAGCTGTGAAAATAGCAGATCTATCTTAACACACCATATTGGTTAATTTAGTAGACAGACAAGCTAACAAAATGTACAATAAAGAAATGGTTTTAGACATACAAGAATTCCATCCCAAAGCAATCACTTCCTGATCTTCTATGAATTATGCATTAAACACAGATCAATAAAATCTTTATTACTGCAGAAAAGCAAATAACAAAAGCATTCCTCCTTTATACTTTGGCAATTTGCGCATTATTTCCAAGAATCTACCACTTGGTTACTGCTGCTTAGGGGTCAAAGCAAATTTAAATTCACACGGTTTTGATTGATATAAAACAGACAGAACCTACATAATTGCCGTGTAATGCCACGGCAATCCAGACCTAAACTGAATGAATATATTAACTAAAATGTTTACGTATTAAAAAGAAACATAGAAAATGATTTAATGACATTACAAGGACAGATTTACATCTGATTTAAATAAATAGAAATGAAAACAATGAGAGAGAAATACTCAAAGATCTATGTACCTTTCCATTTGGCTCTTTACCCAAAAATAAACAGTATTCAATGAAATATTTTATTTATATAATTTACGGATTCCTTTTGGTAGAAATTAAAGAAGGTTTAGCATCACCTCTTGTGAGCTGGAAGAACTAATATCTTGATAGTTAGACAAATGTTTTATTTACGCTTAGCGGAGGATGATCAGCCACATATAGTTTATTAAGTAGAGAAGGAAGAGCCAAACTGCTTAGAGCGCACCACCAGAGTGGAGCATGAAGCGCAGACTCGGAGCTCCGCGTGCAAAGAAATTTCTGCATAAGCACAGATGGGAGATCAGAGCAGAATTTGTCAGCGTTGAGCTTGCAGTACCAGATCATTCCGGGTTCTAAGACCCTGCCCCTGCTGCCATGATCCATCAGCACAGCTGATATTGCTTTGCTGATTACAGTACAATGATGCATTTTAAACATTTTACAGACGACCCACTGTTTTTTATTTAGTCTCGTCTCGTTGATGAAAAAACAAACCTATGACTAGTCATGTTTTAGTCATCAAAGATCCATGTTTAGCTCATCAGTTTTTGTTATCCACATGGAAAAAAGGAGCGTCAACGAACTGATTTTGTCATCGCCATCCTTGACGAAATAGCACTGACTCTTAACTGTGCCTTTCCATATGATGGGTATCCATGGCTCCCCATAGCATGATACTGCCTCCACAATGGTTCTCTGAATGGATTACAGTATTAGTTTTCCATAATGCATAGAATTGTACATGATGCCAAAAAGTGAGCTCTTTCTTTACCAGAGCACTCTATCTCGTATGTTTAACTTTGTTAAAACAGGTTAAAGATTTGTTCTTTAATGTCCCCATAATTCATTAAAGCTTATATAAGAAAGATTGAGATATAGTGAGATAACATTACAGACAGGTGGATTCTATTAATTGTCTGATTTGTTTAGATTAAATTCAGGGTTGGTTAAGTAAAAGGAGATAAACACATCCAACACTTTTCAAATTTTCATTCCTAATCATTACATTTTCATTGCTAGTTTTTCTTCAAAATAAAGCAGTAATTTACGTTGATCTATGCAGTAAGATAATCCAAACGATGATCATAAACACAGTTTCTGCTTTCAGAATCCAGGATATTATGACATTGTTGCACAAGACATGTCTGTGTGGCACGTTCCCAACAACTCCCCAATGGAGCACTGGAACCTGGCAGCCATTCTCCGCTACCACACCGAAAGCAACTTCCTAAGTCTTTATGGGGGAAATCTCTTTAACTTGTTCAAGGTCAGGTAAAACAAATAAAACATTGGGCCTGATTGCAAATGAAAATACATTAAGAATCCTTACACAGATCTATGGTCTAAATGCATCGTCAAACTGTCACATTTTTACAGCACTTTCCAGTAAGGTACAACATTGGCTCCTGCTCCGATAGAGGACCAGCAGTTCCCATTGTGTATGACCATGGAGACAGGGAGTCCACTAGATCTTTATATGGACCAGGTGTTAGAAGTAAATAGAACAAAATGTTTACATTTTCGTTCTTTTTTAACATTCACCGTAATTGAAGTACAACATTTAACTGTTGTATTTTTTCCTCTCTTCAACAAAAAAGATCATTTTGATCCAGGCTTCATCACTTTTAGAGCCATAAACTATGAAAGAGCAGCCATGGCGATCTGCTCTGGGGTCAAACCCATTGTGTGCCACTGTGAACATGTAAGTCTGGTCGACTTCAATATGTCTATTCATCAGATGATAAAAGCTATAACAATTCTGTTTGTTTTTTCAGTATTGCATAGGAGGAGGAGGGTATTTCCCTGAATCCCTCAGACAGTGTGGAGATTTTACAGGATTTGACTGGAGTGGAGTTGGAACACATCAAGGCAACAGCGCCTCTAAGGAAATGACTGAGTCTGCTGTCCTGCTGTTCTACCGCTAAGAATATCTATCCTATCTATTCCTAATAACATAATGTAATCTAATTTCATCCTGAAATATTTTTAAACCCCTCACCAGTAGATGGCGATACACTACAGTTTATTTTAATTACACTAACTGGAAGTTAGGGTTAAACAGGTAGTTAAACTAGCAGCAGTCTAAAACTTGTGCAAAACACATAGTATCAGAGATTTAAAAGTGAAAACAAATATATAATGCTGCAATTCAAGAATGCCCAGAAGAATACTAAAACACCATGTAAATCAACATAGAAGCTAATTTGTTCAACAAGGGAGCAACCATAATAAGAATAAATCAGACTCACATAGCATTTACAAACAGACGAGCAGTAAATACTTATTAGACATTGTAGAGATCGATTATTTTAAGCTGCTGATCTTGTCATTCATTCAATGTTTGGAAGGCTTTGCTTCAGTTGCAGTTGCAGTCATATGCAGGTTTGTATAGGAAGAGCAAAATATTTAAGCTCCTACCAGTGTGGAGATTTCCCCTCCTTTGACTATGACCGAGTGTGAGGAGATGAAGGCTGGGACGCTGCTAAGGAGATGATTGAGTCTGCTGTCCTGCTGTTTTATCACTGAAGGCATATATCCTATTAGATAAATGTATTTAAAGAATTCACCAGTAGATGGCATTATAATTATTTGTTGTCCTCTCTAGGTACACTAACTTCATCCCCAGTTGAAAAACATGACTGTTAGGTTAATTGGCTTCCCTAAATTGTCCTTAGGTGTGAGTGTGTGAAAGCATGGTTGTATGTCTCATGTTGTCATGCGACAGACTGGGGAGCTGTCCAGTCTTTTTCCCATAGACCGCTGGACAGTACACTGGCCCCACTGTGACCCATAGGGAATAAATGATAGAAGATGGATGGATGGATGGAAAGAAGCATCATGAAAAAGAATAAACCAGATTCATATAACCTGGATACTAACTGGAGGAGGTTAGATTCCTTAGAGTATCCCAATAAAATAAATCTGTCTGTACCACTGGCTTTTTGTTTTTGAAGTGGAAATATTTGTTGCTTTATTAAAAAAAAAAAAAAATTAATATGTCTTTTTTTTTTTTAGATTAAGTGTTTTTTTAAGAGAGTTACTAACCAGCAAGGCTTCTGCATGTTTCTCAAAGGTTAAACTTTTTCACTGTAAAACAACAATGTAAAAAAGGGAGGACTTTTGGTTAATGAAAATGCTTGGAAAACCTAACAAATGTTCAGTGCTCCAGATAGGCACTGAATATTACATCAACATACCGTAGTTGAATTTTTAAGCTATTGAATAACATTTTAGCTTCATATCTTCAGGAATTTTTCTTTTGCACAAATGTATCCAACATACAGAAATTACCCAACACCAGGAATTCTGCAGGTCAGCTATAATATGCTGCTCAGGTAAAAAAATCAATGGAATTAGATAGCTTAAGAGTTAGCTAGGTTAAAAAGAACATTGCATTACTTTTAGTCTTAAAATGAACACAAATGAACTACACAAAATTACAATAAACTGTTAGGCAGTAAGATGGGTTAATGAAAGACACATGTTCTCTTACAAGGGCTTTGGTCATATCCCCAGATGAGACATAAAGATGTGCATGTGTCTTTAATTATAGACACATCATATCAAAGTCACATCATATCAAAACAGAAACATGTGCACCAGATAAAAAACAGCAACACAAAACAATTAAGTTTATGAACAATTTCAGCTGTTTGTGTATTTTTATTCACTTTCTATGGAAGATTTAGATATTCAAGGTGTAAAAGATCCCAGGTGAGCAACCCCTTCTTTTCTGAGGAAGCCAAGATGATCATCGTCCCAAATATCACAGCCTTTACACATATAAATGCCTTGCAGCTGACATCACAAACTCGTCAAATGTTCACCGAAATCTAGCGGCAGCCATATTGAGTGCCTGCTCTTGTCCCCTGCGCATCAAAGAGGCCGTCTGTATATTTTGGCATCGGGTGTGACAATAAAAAGGTGACCCAAACATTACTTTTTGCTGCTTACTGAAACAGAATAAACGTCGTCAGGGATGACTGTCAGTGATCAGCAGGGCTGACTGGACACTGACTGCAAGTAGCCATCTGTGCAGAGTACATTTCGTATCAGGTGAATTTCTAAACAAGTCAGGAGAGCTAGTTTAGGACAGCACAAACTGGATGTTTACATTTTTTTCATGAAAATTAAGTGTTTAGATAACACTGATTAGACACCCTTTAAAAGAAGTACATTTGATGTTAAGATCTGAAAATGTTGCTCTATTTATGCTTATGCTTACTCTGGTGTATGATGATGTGTTGTGTAAAAGACAGACAACTTTGAAACAATTTCAAATCATATCAATCATGAAAGGAAAAATATGGAAACCTGTCAGTTTAAAAAAGGTGAAAAAAGCCTGTAGGGTTTTTGCATATATCACATCCAAATACACAAATTTTCTCTGTGTATCGGAAAGCCAAGGTACCAGCCGAAATCTCTCAGTAAAGAGGTTAGAAAGCAATCCTGCCCCTTGTCAATGCTAATTAAAATCAGCTGCTTCAGTCCCAAATGATGGCCTTTAAAATGGTGTCTCTGCTTTCACACAAGAAACATCTCATGATGGGTAAAAGTAAAGAGCTTTCTCAAGACCATGAAGACCTTAATAATGACATTGGTTAAAGAAGGATTGCTAAACCTCTGAATGTTCGGGTGAGCGCTGTTGGGGGCATAATACTGAAGTGGAAAGAACATCATTTCACCATAAACCGACCATGACCAGGTGTCCAAGAGCAGAAGGGCCACTTGTGGAAAGCCTCAGCAAAACCTGGAATTAGCAGGTACAATTGTTTAAAAGAAAACATTAAGTAATGCACCGAACTGCCATGGCCTGTATGCACGCTCACCACAAAAACACTATTGACGCTTGTGTAAAGTTGGCTGCACATTTAGACAAGCCTGTGAAATACTGGAAGAATATAGTCTGATCAGAAGAGACAAAAATTTAACTCTTTGGATGCCATAATACACATTGTGTTTCCATGTCAAAAGGTGCTGCACATCACCCCAAAAAGAACATTACCACAGTTAAGTTTGGAGGTGGGAACATCATGGTGTGGGGCTGTATACGGTACTGGCAAACTTTAAATAATTTAAAGAAGGATGGATGTAAAAAATTTACAGAGATATTCTTGATAAAAATCTACTGCCAATCTACCAGGATGATGAAGATGAAACGTGGGTGGACAGTTCATAGAAATGATCCACGAAACCTTCAGGTTTTGAAGAATGGTGGAAGAATGGGCCCAAATCACACCTGAGCAATGCATGTGACTAATTCTCCATACTGCAGGCATCTTGAAGCTGTCATTGCCGACAAAGGCGTTTGTACAAAGTATTACACAAATTTCAATAATTGTGTTCAATACTTTTTCCCTCTGCCATTTCACTTTACTAGACAGAACTTAATTTCTGGACATCTACGGTTTGATTTCTTTTTATGTGTAGATTGCATGGATTGATACAGACATCTGGTGAAAATGTAATGTCAGCAGCACCTCTAGAAATGTATTTACTGCGAAAAAGATGGCATGTTCAATACTTATTTCACCCGCTATATCAAAAATTTATAATTTTTATCCTAATGTAGGAGTTAGCCATACTTAAACATGCTTTTTTCACATATGTTCTCACTGCAAAAAAGAAAAAAGGATGACCTATGACAGATCATCATCATCATCATCATCATCATCATCATCATCATCATCATCATCATCATCATCATCATCATCATCATCATCATCACACCTCCATTATGTTACCTAATGACCATATCATTTATGAGTACCAGCAGCATGCAAGAGGTTTCTATCTCTCATGCTGGCTGTGGATGAAGAAAAACATCAGCAAGCTTCTTAGCTTAGCAGAGGGGAGAGGTAAAGTATGTATAGAGTAATAAGCACAGCTCTGAACCATGTTCTAACTAAAATCAAGGAAATTTTAGCGTATTTGGTACTAGTCACTTTGACAGTATCACACCAAATGTCAGAAGCCAACAACAAAAGTTGGGCCAAAAGGCAAAGCTCTTGATTACCAATCAGTCTACATTCCTGTCCTCTCCTATGGCCATGAAATTTTGATTAAGACCTAAAAAAAGAAAAGCTGGATACTAGCATCTGAAATACACTGTAGTAAAGCAACTTCTCCTCCAAAGTGAGAAGAGTCAGCTAAGGAAAGCTCAAATGTATTTTTCGGATACTCAATGGACACCATACTTGGGCGGTATGCAGGCACAGGGGAGCAGTTCCAGGGGACGGCTCAGGACATGCTGGAGGGATTATGTCCCTTGGCTGGCCCAGGAAAACATAGGGCTTCCCTCAGAGGGTGGGAGTCTGCGCTGAGACTGCTGCTCAGAGGAAGAGGACAAGTACGAGTAAAAGTTATGTGAGTAACACTTTTTGGCTGCACTGTCACTGTGAATATCCTCATGGAACAAAGATCCACCAGATTCATTTTTGTTATAAGGCTATTTTTATCTTCTGAGACTTTAATAACGATGGTGAAGTGTGTTTTCTCACGTGAGGCGGTTTACCCTGACCTTGCACTGCTAGCTGGATTGTTGCGAGATCTGAGTTTTCAGTCCCACGATGATGACGTAGAACTCAACTCAGTTCTACACATATCAATCTGGCTACTGCCAGGTTAGGTTTACCCTCCTCTGTCATTACATACCTTAGGAAAAGGTTTCATATATTTTACATAAAAAAATAGATTTGGATAAATATCTTTTTTTGCCAGGTTTTATTTTCCAATTATTATTTTATTCTTATCATTTAACCAGGGGTAGTGTTGGCCTAGTGGTTTAGAGCAGTGTGTCTGTCCTCTGAGAGGGTTGCAAGTTCCCGGTTTGATCCCCACAGCCTCCACTCTGGGTTCCTGAGCAAGACCCTTAACCTCACACACAATGGCAGCCCACTGCTCCCCTAGGAGATGGGTCAAAATGCAGAGAATGAATTTCCCCATTGCGGGACAATAAAGGGATTTACATTTTTTACATAGCTTCTTTGAGTAAAGGAATTATCACATGAGTTTGTGCTATGGTCTGTCTGATTGCATAATATTAAACAATAAAACACTTAAATACAAATAAATACATTTTAAATCCAACTCGAGTAATTTATTGGGCAATTACTCTTTACTTTGGGTAGAAATATATTGAAGTAGTGCTATTTTAACTTCAGTATAGGTTTGTGGTGCTCTACCCACCTCTTCATTAGGGACAAGTTGGAATAAGAGATAAATATCCAGCAAGCAGTAATCATTAAGCAGCTGTAATCATCTGACTGCTTTAAACATGTGTCACAAATAATAAGGGCTACTCTGAAGGGATATATCTAAACTGCAAATTTACAAAAATCCTGTAGTTAATCCTGCATATCCTGTAGTTAGAATGGCAGAGACCTACATTCAATTGACAAAAAAAAAGAACTATCTAATATGCCTTGACAGCTAATGGAGATTGAGCTATTAAAGATTTCCCTTAAATCCGCTTAAATAAAATGCATTAAAAGTTGTTGTAACATGAGAAAATGTGGAAAACTTAAAAAATTGTTTTTTTTTTTTTTACGCTTGTCTCATTAGGGATTAAGGACAGGCAAACAGGGACAATGTTTTAATGTTGCAAAATGAAATATTCAACAGGAGACGAGAAGAAGTACATTGAGAATAAAATAACATCTGTATAACAAATCCTATCAGGGTTCTAATTTGCAAAAATTGTCTTCAGTGGGTCGTAGGGATCGTCTCACACAAACTTCTTAAAGCAACATAAAAAGGAAAAAAATGAGAATACTGAGGTAAATATTGTGTTTAATAAGCAAACATCAGTCAGAAAACTGACATTAGTCTTGGGATGGAGAAATAGTAGGAGAATATAAAGCACAATGCACATGTGTAAAGGTGGTGATGGAGGAGGGAGGGGGTCATATTCATCTGTTACACAAGGCAGCCCCAAACAGGAAGGGGCAGGAAGCTCTATATAACATACAGATCAGGATCCAAGTCTACGGTACAAAAAACTTAGCAGCAACATGTTAACATTTGAGACCAAAGGGGCTAACAAAGTAGTTTCATTTAGAAAAAAGTCACAGTATTCTTTAAATTTGTTAAAAAGGTAAAAAGAGTTTCTCTATGCATCTGCTAGGGTCAATGCTACTCACAAAGTCTGTGTGTGGAGTACATAGGTAGGGAAAACTATACATTTATACTCTAATATAAAGAACTTTCTGGTAATGGCACAGTACAAACTCTCAGGAAAAATATACAATGTCTTCACGTCACATTTGCAGATTAAAATGTAACTAAGGTCTCTGGCAAGCACAAAAGTTTCAGTGATCAAGAACAAAACAAAACTTTTCTTACACCAAAAATAAAGGACACCATTTTGTTAGTTCAGCTATCTTGACAGAGTATGTCTTTTTAATACAAAAATAAGGACAAATATAAATTAATATATATTAAAAGACTCAGGCTGATACATGGGGAATCTAGTGAATAAGTACAGGTATTTATGATACAATAAATACTTGTCATTCATGACTCAGGTGAGGGGATGGGGTACACAAACAAGAGTGTTGTGTAGTTAACCTGTTTTTGTCTGCAGGTGTAGGCGCATGTCCGTTGCTCAATAGCTGTAAAGAGAACCTTAAGATTCAGCGCAGCTATGTGTACCATCATGCGCACAGTCACAAAGGACTCAGGAGGCCTGCCGAAGGAGCCTGTGCTGGTTTCTGTGTTGTGTTTTATGTTGAAGGGGGTAATAGATGCCCATACTGGGCCATGCTTTAAGGCAGCTCCTCCTGGTGGTGAGTCTGTAGTACTACCAATTACAGTTACTCCTAAAGACACACAACTCAGAGACAGGGCGCTGGACGTCTACTGGAAAGTGGTGAACTGTTGGTGAGCCGCCAGTTCTCCGGGGAGCAGAAAGTGTTGCACAGTGTGGCACACCGCTGGAGTAATCACAACCAATAAAACAGAAGTAGATGAAGAAAAATGTCTTTCTTTTTTTGTCTTTTTTCCCCACTTCATAATAAAAATAAGTCTGCTTTTGTACTTTATAATACAATTCAAAATCCCCAACGAGGAAGCATCGCTCATCAGTCCAGCAATGATGAGAAAAGTAGCCATTTTTGGAGTTGTTTCTCCTGTGATTTCTTTAGATATTTTTTTTCCTTTTTCTTTTGTGAGGGCTTACAAAAATTGTGGTGCTTAGGAGAAGTACTCCTGGGGTGTGGAGAGTTTCTCCACAGAAAACAAAAAGATGATCAATCTGGTAGGGGTGGCAGGAACTGTTCTGAGAAAAAAACAAACTTTTGTTTTACGAAGAACACTTTGTACAGCCGCACTTCACAACCTTTTCCACTTCCTGGACAAAAGAAGACCCATCAGTGCACTGGAAGGTGTATTTCCTGCGTTTGCTGCGGAGGGGGGTGCAGCAGGTTCCCTGTCCTTCTGTTCCCCCTGGGCAGCTGCCTCGACACTCTAAACGGGAGATCTTCTCCTGGGTTTGGCACGCCGCATAGCCTTGCTGTCTCTGGTAGACATCTCTGACCCGTTCCCCTCGGCAGGCCACCTCTGTATTAAAAGAGAGCATTAAACAATATGAGTAAAACTACTAAGTAATGCATCATAGAGGTGGAAAAGGAATGCAAAAGAGACATCTATACCATGACTGAAACATGCAAAAGAATTAGGATGAGTGAAAAAGAATAACAAATAATGTAGAGTTAGTGTAAATTAAATCAAAGCAAACATTGTCCACATTCACTATATTGCCAAATGTATTGAGATGCTTAATCTTATGTACATTACTATCCCATTAGAATTACAAAGGCTTTTATTGGCAATGTTCAGAAAAGACATTTCTGCAAGGTTTAGAGGGATTTTATTAAAATCATTGACAATTCCTCTTGCAGAAGAGCATTTCTGAGGTTAGATACTGATGTTTAATGAAAAACACTTTGCTCATACTCTTCATCTCATGCTTTGAATGATGAAGACATGCTCAAATTCACTGAGCTCCTGAAAGCTGTCCCTTCTTTCTAAAATGTCATCCAAAGTGTTTGATTTTCAACACCTGTTGCTATGGAACACCAAAAGACTTAGTGAGAAGATATTTTTGGCAATACAGTGATTGTTGTGTGGAATATGATACAAACAAAAGTCTAATTAGAAAAAAAAAAAACTAAAAAATCTTAATATAATGTATTTTTATGTCCATGAAATAACACCTTTATAAGAGGTTCCAAAAGGTGATGGGTAAAGTACAATATTTGTTGATGATTGCACACAAAAATGAAGAAGGCCAAGTAGATAGAGGTCTATTGGCTTTTATTGCACTCTGTGTGGTTTTCGACAACGTTGGCAAAATTATTTCGTGACGCTACTTTTTTTTAATGACAATAACAAAAACTGATGAGATAAACTTGAATCTTTGATGAATAAAACATGACTAGTCATAGGTTTGAGTTTTTCGTTAACAAGACAAGACTGGATGAAAATTAGTGGGTCATCGCTCACGCGTTTAAAATGCATCCTTGTGCTGTAATCTGTTAGAAAACCTAAGCAGTATGAGCTGTGCTGCTGTTCTGTGTTCCTGCATATTCTGCATGACCACAGATAGACCATGGCAGCAGCAGCAGGGTAGAAAATAACCCAGAATTGTTCAGTACTGCACCTTCAACTCTGACAAACTCTGATCTCACCAGCTGTGCTTTTGCAGAAATGCACGGCTAGTCTGCGCTTCTCGCTCCACACTGATGGTTCACTCTCAGCAGAATGGCTCTTGCTGCTCTCACTACTTAGTAAACTATATGTGGCTGATCATCCTCCGCCAAGCTTAAAAAAATCCCTTTGTCTAACTATCAATATTTTATTTCTTCCAGCTCACAAGAGGTTATACTAAACATCCTTTAATTTCTACCACAAGGAACCCCTACATTATATCAAAAGCAAATATTTAATTGATTACTGTTTATTTTTGGATAAAGAGCCAGGTGAAAAGGTACATAGATATTTGAATATTTCTTTCTCATAGTTCTTGTTTCTATTCATTTAAATATGATGTAAATGTTTCCTCGTAATGTCATTAAAACATTTTCAAGTTTCCTTTGAATATGTCAACAATTTAGTTGACATATTCATTAAATTTACGTCTGGGTTGCCATGGCATTGCAAGGCAATTATGTAGGTTCTCTGTATTTTTTTTAATATTAAGATTATGTGAATTCAAATCTACTTGAACCTCTGAGTATTGGTAACAAAGGGGGAAATTCTCAGAAGTAAAGCCAACATTGCCAAAGTAGAAAGGAGAATGCTTTTGTCATTTGCTTTTTTGGAGTAATGAAGATTTGATTGACCTGTGTGTAATGCATAATTCATAGTAGATCAGGAAGTGTTTCCTTTGGGATGGAAACCTAATATGTTCCTTTATGGTCCATTTTGTTAGTTTGTCTGCCTGCTATTTTAACCAATACGATGTTTTGAACTAAATCTGCTATTATTACAGCTTTTGTGAGACACTTTTTATAAAGTAGGGTATTAATACATAAAAAAGTATATTTGAATTCTACAAAGTTTTCTGCCCAACAGCAATGATTGACTGCACAGCAGCATTCCATACCCAGCAATTGTAGTATCTAGGCAAGAGATGTCAATCTGGTAAAGAATCTGGTTGTTATTCCAAATTGTAATGGTTAACCTTTTTGCAACATAAAACTGGACTGAAACCGACAAAACTATCACTTATCGTAATGACTAAAATGTGACTAAGATAAATAATATTTTCCGTCCTGAAGACTAAAACTAAGACTAAATCTAATAAAAGCTGTCAAAAACAACACTGATTGCACTGGTAACCAGAGAATACTGGGGAATCTAAGATGAGAAGTTTATGTTCATACCTGAGTAGTCCCCCGTGTGGGATTAGGAGAAAGCTCAGGAGATGCTAAGTTAAAAAAGTGTTAGAAGTGTTAGTACAGAAGAAGAAACTGTGTCAAGACACAAATAAAGAGATTTGTTCACTGAAAAAATAACACAATCATTTTTGGCATTTACTTAATCATATTTAATTACTTTAACACAATTGTTTTATGACCTACCCTGCTAACAAGAAACAATTGTGTTAAAGTAATTAAATATGATTAAGTAAATCCCAAAAATGGTTGCCATATTTTTTTTCATTGAAGACCAGGTCTAGTTAAAAGAAATGCATTAGAATAAAAAAAGTTTCTGCTGTATAAGGGTGTTATTTACAAAGCAATTACTTGGTTACTGTCCACACAGATGACTGTCATTCTTACATATTATTGCACTTATATGAACATAAATCAACTGACCTCGGTCACATGCCTCTCCTGTGTATCCACTGTTGCACTCGCAGTATGCTTTTCCCAAGCCTGACACTCGACATCTGCCATGTTTGCAATGGGACGCGCTGCAAGGATTGGCCGTATCCAGGTCCTGAGCATCACATAGAACACCAGAGAAACCAGGCTGGCACCGACAGGAGTAGGAGTAAGAGTTTATTGGAAGGCAGGTACCATGAATACACCTGTACGTTGGAGGAGAAGCGACAAAACAGGCGATATAATAGGGAATAGATATACCTTACTAGTTCAGTTTCAATAAGCTGTAGAATTTTAATCCCACTCACTTATTGCCATCACAAGGATTGGTAACTTGCTGGTCACACAGAGCCCCAGTCCATCCTGGATGGCAGGTACAGGTGAAACCTTGGTGACCTGTTGGGTGGCAGTCACCCTGGATGCAAGTACCTCTCTGGCATGGCTGGCAGCCCGGCTCCACCCCATTTCCAAGCCATTGTCTGTTGTTCTGTAAATTCCCTGGACCTGGAGTGTCTTGGTCCTGCCCTGCTCCCAAGTTCTGGAGCTTTCCGTTGATGTAAAGATTACGAAGGCATCCATGAAAGCTCGTACCGTTGCGACCTCCTGAGCTGAGTTGAAGGGCAGAAAAGCCACCAGAGCCTGAAGCCTTTTCTGGCATTCCTGCACAAAGAGCAGCACAAATGTTGGATCTTAAGCATCTATATTCAAAAGTATGGCCTTTAAAATTTGGATTAGCAATGTTTTTTAGTCATCAAGCTAAAACACTATCTGATGAACACTAGAAAACGATCTGATGTTCTCCTCTCACCATTCTGTAACAGGTTTTCAGTTTATCTAAGTGACTAAAAAGGGAAACTGCAGTGGCTCTGGTTATATTGGCCAATACCACTAAAGGAATTTGAAAAAATAAAGTCCCACACTGCTGTTGGGAAAAACGAGAAAACATACTATCCTTAGCACCCATGGTGAAAGCAATATGGCTGCACAAGCTAAAGACATAACAAGGATACCGAGCACCAATATCAAGTTCAAGTCCTTCACATTAACATCATGATGGGTCAAACAACTCAATAAGGGATTAAACAGGAAGTTATCGTTCGGTTTAAGGGTTACAAAATCTGAGTTTCATCTGCATTACAATAAAAAGCACTGTTTAGATTAAACCAAAGGGCACTAGATATAAATATAACAGAAGCAGTCAGAACCAGTCAAGGAATATAAAAAAAACTAGAGAAATTAATAACATTTTTCAAAGACAGCTAAATGTATACTTCCCAAATGCAATAACACATATGATTACACAATAAAAAGTATACCATAACATGGTTTCTACTTTGCAGTTTATAATTTTATCGGGATACTGATTTTAAAACAGTGATGGTTCTGACAATGCTCTGTGCACCAACAATAATTCTAAAGTATAGTGGAGGATGTTCTCTTTCTGGGTGGATCATCAAAATAAACTGTCCTCCTAGTTGTCAGTCATTCTGGTGATATGTTTACGTAAGGCTGTCCTACCGTGCTCGAATCAAGGTTTAGTAACTATGACATCGTCATTATGTGGGTTCTTACCTCCCAGGTAAAGTGGGGAATCAATGCTGAGGGTGGACTGTTTGTTGATGGAGCTGATGGATTTGGGTGGTCCGCCATCAATGGACAGAGACAGAGTCTGGTCAGCTGCTACTAACTCCACAGAGTGGAAACTGCCATCGTTTACTGTCTCCACACTAAGAAAAATAGAGGAGGGAGAAACTGTAGCAGCTTCTTTACTGTAAAAGTATCTCTGAATAGGGTGTTATATATTGAACAAACCTGTATATCGCAGAAGGTGGGTAGGATCCGGTGTCGTAGCTGACCCTGAGACGTCCCCTGTACAGCTCCATTGCAATGTGATCATCATCACCTTTGTACAATAAGACGCCACTGTCCTCGTCAGTAGCAATCTGTAAATACAGGTTGATTTAGCTGTTATTAAACACACTTGCAGCATCGAAAAATCCCTTCATATTATTTCTTACAATGACAAATTAATTACTTGGTGAAATGAATTAGTATGTTTTAGTATGTATTAGTATGTGTACCTGTATTTTTCATCTGCTTTTATTTCCATCCATTTTCCCCATTATTTACATATTATCTATTTCTGCTAAAGAAAAGGCATCCATATAGCATAATGCTAACATGTAGAAAGTGTGCTCAGGGCATTGCTTAATGTCAAGCTTGCGTAGGGATCAGAGCAACCTCTTACACATGGAAAAGTGCATACAAAGGCTTCATCTTCTAATGACTTGTTTTTTTATTTAAGAATGGAATTTCTCTTGAAACATCCTGAGCCGTGGATTTCTGCAGCCTTTCCACAGGTAATAAGGTTTTCTTTGCTGTTTCTCTAATTAGGGGGAGTGTTGACCTAGTGGTTAGAGCAGTGCTTTTGTGCTCTTAGAAGGTTGCAAGTAACAGTTCGATCCCCACAGCCTGAACTCTGGGTCTGGCAAGACCCCTAACCCCACACTGCTCCCCATGCGCCACACAATGGCAGCCCATTGCTCTCCACTGGGATGGGTTAAATGCAGAGAGTTAAATTTTAGGCTTTGTACTTTGACAGCGTATTGACATGAAAGTTGAATTCTTTTCTCTATTCTATTCTATTAAGGTTCTTATCATCCAGTTAAGGGGGAAAGCAAAGGGAAAATCTGCAGCTAATGTGCGCCTCCTGCATCTTCAGGTAATAGACTGAAATGTTCAAACCTTTGCATATTGTCTCTCAACCGAACCCTTTTTTGGAGGTTGGTTATAATAACGTAACAAAGGGCTAATTACAAATGAATAAAGTACTTTTCAATTTAAAAAAAATCAAATATTAGAGAACGATCTGTTATTACAATGAAATTACGATCTCCCTGTTTTCTCCTCAACTTGTCTTTGCCGAGACTAAATCTGATAACGATTCAGGAAAAGTTACATTTGAGAAGCTTTTTCTACCCAAGCAGAAAATGTCTATTGTATGTCTATTGTATTGTAAGTGCATGGTGCAACAATATCTATAAATAGAAAGTAGACAGTACCTGTAGGCTGATGTTGGTCTGTGGTGAGAGGAGGTTGGAGGGAAGTTGCAGGTAGGACTCCCGGTTGACAAAGTTTACACTCACAAGCGTTTCACAATGTTCGCCCTCGTAGCCATGAAGACACTGACAGCGGGGGTCTGTTCCCACAACAACGCACTGAGCTCCATTAAGGCAGTCGTGGTTGTCACAGGGACTGGTTCGAGGGAGGACCATTGGGGGAGTAAACTGGCAGAAAAGCCCACTGAAAAAGTCATATTGGCACATAGATTACTTGTAGGATCGGCGGTTAAGCTATGCTTTCAGTTGCTGTATAAACATAAAAGATGTCAGGGTAAAAACAAAACTTTGGATTTATCCTGCATGCAAAGGAGATGATAAAATCTACTTCTAACATGGAACATGTTACAGTTAATGGCCCATAAGATTAAGTTGCTATCATAGTCATTATTTTGGTTGTGTTTCTGACCTGTATCCCTCTGGACAGATGCAGGTGTATCCGTTCACAGCATCAATGCAGTGACCTCCGTTTTGACACTTGTTCTCTTCACAGTCATCATAGTCCAACTCACAATGCTCCCCAACGTAGCCTGGAGTGCACTCACACCTAAATGTGTAAAATAATTTCAGATAAAAGATTTGACAGTAAAAAAAAACAGTGAAAAAAAACATTTTAGCTTTCAGTCGGCCCTACAATCAACTCACTTGTATCCCTGAGGGGTGAGAATGCACTTTGAGTCGTGTTGACACGGGTTTAGCTCTGGGGCGCAGAAGTCCAGTTTCTCCTCACACAATTCTCCTAGAATCAAACACATATACAGATAACATCGGTTAGTGTTTATACAGTGATAATGTTACAAACAGACTAGAATAGAAAGAAAATCCATATTTTAAAAATGTACCTACTAAAATTGTGTTTAGGGAACTTTGCATCAGCATGACATAGAGCGAGTGAATATCCAGTGTGTGGCCGTGTGGGTTTTTGGGTGTGTGCTCTAATGATGGATGACTCTCTTGTGGCCAAGACCAACACAGGGGTCTGATAAATGATCTCATTGTTGAGAATGTCATATTCCAGAGTGTCTCTTGATCATTTGAAGTCAACTGAATCCATGATGAGACACCAGGGAATAAACCGATACTCCTGGCAGCAGAAAGTGCACTCAGGGAATAATTACACAACTCCATGGGGATCTCGGTGAACGTTCATGTGTGTGTGTGTTCCTTTAATCTTTATAAGTCGTAAAAAAATAAGCAATGGATATTTAGAAAAAGGTATTATTGCAAGTGAATACAATTTATTTTAAAAGGTGCTCATATACATGCAATTGTGAACTAAACACTTTGTATAGTATAATAAATGTTGATTGTATTTTCTTTTTAATCAAATCTGAAATGCTCTGGCAGAATAGGTGAGGCATTGACAAAATCCCCTTTGGTCGACTGAGATAATATGGAAATTTGAATTGAGAATCTACTTCAGATGTTTGATTAGACTTTGACCTGCTGTAAGGTCAACAACTTGGATATTTTCCGACTTGTTTCTGTCATTTAAATGTCCACTTAAATCTTAGGATTCAACAGATGTACAGTAGGGTAACAATCAGTGCTTCTAAGTTCAGTTGTCAGGGATTTGATGTGTAATAGTTTAGCAGAGTTGAATGTCTTCAATAACAATTAAACTTCACATTTTGTCATGTTAGAACCACAAACTTTTATACTTTTTACTGAGACTTGATGTGGAAAATAAATACAAGGAAGTTAATTAACTGTTAAGCTGAAGGACTGTCACGGATACAGTTTTGGAAAATGAAATACCTGTAAAATCAGCCCTACATTGAACATCCTATATCCCTTAAGATATATGTACTGCAAAATTTTAAGAACTTAAAGACTTGTCTGCCTGACATGTCTTAAAGGTGGGGCAAAAAAAAAGTGTGTATTATAAGTGTGTAGAGTATAAAAGAGCCGTATTAATCCTGAGAGAGCAACAAAGGTTTGGAGTCCATTTAACAAAACGTATCATCAGGACAGTTTATTGATATTCTGTTGATTGCACACATCAAATATATAAAATTTACAGAAAAGTGGCAAAAAGAAAGCCACTATTAAAAGAAGGCAAGATATGTAGGAGACAGAGTAAACATGTGAATTGAAATGCATCCTGTGTACTAATGGCTGAATTGAAATCTGGGAGAAAACTAATACTACAAAGAGTCGACCACATGGTAGTGGTGGAATCATACTCTGGGGTTGCTTTTCTTAAGAATACCCAATTAATCTAGTAGTTAAATGTTAAAAGGATTGAGCTTCGATGATAATTCTGGAGCAGATGATGATGCAAAAGCTTGAGACTAAGAAGAAGGTTCCATTATTTTCTGTCTTTGTTTTTTCACATTTTATACTCTACTGTCTGTTGCACTTACAAAACTTTAAAAGCTTTAATTTTTGTGGTTGTAACAGGACAAAATAAGCAAATGCATATGCCTTGCACTGTAGGCTCATTAGCCTTGTGCCTATAAGACATATCAGCTCATAGTACATTTACAGACTAACTGACATTTCATTGGACTTGCCAATCTGTCAATACAAAGGAGAGAAAAAAAATCAAATTTAGTAAAATAAACACAGGGATAATGCAGCAACCAGCCAATCCAAATATAACTATGTTCATTCCTAAAAACAGGTCCCAAAATCACATCACATCACTCATATGGATAATCAGATATTTACACATAATCTTTTTCATTTCTACGTTTTTATGCAATTAAAGTAAGCATTTGGGGGGATCTTAGGGATTAAAAACCATATGTTTTTCTTAAGTTTTTGATGCCTGAATTTTGAATAAATGTTACTTTCCCTTTCCTTTAAGTCTAACAAGCTGACCTTGAGCTCTAATGACAGGTAAGCAGCAAACAGGTTCTCTGCTCTATTGCTTCCAAGCAGTAAATTTGCAGCAAATTTGCAGACTTTGAGTTATCTGTTCAGTTATGGGTCAGATTTTCTATGGATTGTGCACACAAAGCGAAGGGTATGATTCAATTTAGGGATGGAATCAAAAAGTAAGGAAGGAGAGAGGGCGAAGGACAGGAAGGACACAGAGAAGACCAGACTAACCTCTCTCCACCTCATTGGTAGCAGCTGCAACCACAAAAAGATGACAGATGAAAAAAAGTAAAGCAAGAGAGCAGAGAGAAGACAGCAAACAAACATCCACAGACAGAGAGAGAACATCGCCACAAAGGTTAGCAGTCAGAGACAATCAGCACATTGCAAAGGCAGACAGACATAAAGCAATAGAACAGAGATAAAGTAAGAATATCTGTTTCTCACCAAAGAATTTTAGATGAATGTGGGAATATATTTTTTCATTTAGATTTCCATTTTTGGGGCTGGTTGAGTTATGGTTATGGGCTGGTTGATTATACCAAAATAATAACTGGGCCTTTATGTTTATATTTGCTTCTGACTTTACCTTCTCTGTATTAGGAGAAAATCACATGTATATGAAAAAAAAAACAAAACATGAATTTACTTCTCCACTAATTTTTATTTTAACATCCATCAGCAAACTGCATAAAAACCCCACAAGTTTGCAAAGAGTTATACAAGTGATGTAATTTTGGCAAATGGAGCAATATTATTGGAGAAGATTTCAAGAAACACTTTGCATTATTTTTTTTTCTACAGGATAGAAGTCAAGATCATTCCATAGACTTTATTTTTGGCTGTTTAAGCAATTTTGGAACCAAAAATCTGTAAGAAATTCCACTTTTACATTTGCACATTAAGCTGATAATTAATGTGTACAGGAAGCCGGTTATTATTGACCTTGGTGACAAAGTGGATTGTAAATTTGACAGCCAGATTTAAGCAACTCTATAGTTTCCTTCAATTGAGGCGAAATTAAAGCCCATTTTCCTCCCCGACAACATTTAGAGAGAGTAGTCCATGTCGTCATTATTACCTGACAGGATAACTGTAATGCACTTTATGTGGGGGATAGTGGCTCCAATATTGATAGACTCTAAAGAGTGCAAAACTCTGCGGCATGGCTTTTATACAGCACACATTAACCCTATTTTAGCCTCATTAGAGTGGCTCCTTGTATATGTTAGCATTCATTTTAAAGTTATTTCATTTCTTATGAAGTCACCCAATGGTCTTGCTCTATCTTATCTTTCTGAGCTTCTGCACTGTCATGCATGTACTAAGGTCAGCTGACCAGCTGTTCTGTAGGTGCCGGAAACCAAAAGAAAGCTGGGGGGTATCATGCTTTTTGAGTAGCAGCTCCAAAAATGTGGAAAGACCTTCCATTGCGTATCAAAGAGTATACCTCTTTGTCTGATTTTAAAACACTTCTAAAAACGCATGTTCCCATGCAGTTTTTTTTTCTAATTTTGTTATATGTATTTTATGCTTTTATTGTTTTTATTAAGTATTATAAGCTTATAGAAAACAACAACAATGAAAAATCAATGAACCTAATTTAAAAATTCCGTATTGCATGTTTCACAATCATTCTACTTATGAATTAACCATTATGATGTCCTTAAGAGTTTAAGTTGACTTCAAACTGACACTCTATGAATAAGACACAGTATTTAGAGCAGCAAGGGTTTGTATTAGATCTAAGTGGAAAAGCTTAAAAAAAAAACAAAAAAAAAACAGTGGTTATTATAATTAAGATATGAGACAACAATTTTATGAGATTGTTGCACATTCTGAAAATGTCTCCTTTGACTCTATGTTCAAAATATGTGATTAAATACTGATTAGAATCAATGAAGTGGAAATACACTGAGGGTGAAAACAGGCTGCCAACCATGGACCCTCTTTGTTTCCTGCTTTTTTTAAAGCACTGTGTTACCTGTGTATTCTGGGGAGCACATGCAGGTGTAGTTGTTGATTCCATCCACGCAGGTGGAGTTGTTCTCACAGTCGTTATCCTCACAGTCATCAATGTTGATCTCACAAGTATCGCCTTCAAAGCCCTCAGGACACACACACCTAAAGGTACGCATAAAGGCACATAATCGTTCATGATTAAGAAAATAGCTACACGCAGCAAACTACAGATGATATAAGATCTGTGGTAATAATGAAACTGGTGACAGGTTATCTGGTCATGGCGTCCCCTCTGGTAAGATAAAGTCATGCTGGCTGGTCGGCTCAGTCTGTGTGTGTGTGTGTGTGTGGGGCTTCTCCTTTTCCAGGGAATGGCTCTCCCTATCCCAGGCAGGGACATTTTAAAGTGTTTAATATGTTTTTGCATTTATTTTTCATCAACTTACTAGCTTCCCTTCAATGCAGCAACAAAATATCTTCAAAATTTGACACGGCGTGTCATGATTCGGGTTAGTATATGTTTCTGTGGGTATTCCTTTCAGAGCAGAGTGTGTTTCCTGTTTTTATACTTGGGGTAAAAGGAGCTGCCAGACGCTCTTTACTGCCTGATGATTAACCAACCTGGTAAAGTTAAGACTGCTGAACATTTCGTACAACCTAAATAGGGTGATTCTTTGAAATGTATCGTAAGTTTTAGATCCTGTCTGTTACTGCTGTAACTTTTCCCCATGTTCCATGTCCCTTCAGGTAAAAAGCCTGGAAATTATTTATACTTCTCCTAGAGCCTCTGACAAATTTTTTCATTTCAAGAAGCTTTCTTGGATTTCTTTTTCCAAGGGTTGACCCCTGCAGCAACCTGTCTGCCCTCCATACTTTCTATATATAAGTCAATTTAACATGCCATCATTCCTATTCTATGTAGCCCCTTAAAATAAACTTTCAAACTGAAGTATTCAGTCTACATCCAAAAGCCCATTTTTACTTTGCAACAGTAAATAAATAGGCTGAGTGTCTGGAGTTTTCTATCTCCATACCTGAAGAATTACTTGCATAATTATAATTTAGAACATTTATAGTCTCCTTGGGGACGTCTTGATATTACAGATATACGTGCCAAAGGGTAACGTGTCTCAGCTTAGTAGCTACTCCATAGCTACCACACATACACATGAACACACATACTGTGCTATATTATGAGTTTAATCAAGAGCTCTTTATGCGTTACGCGCTCTGTATGATGATATCTCATTATAGTCAGTGGCAGTACTTCAGAAGGAATATAGTCAGATCAGTATAAAAAGTCAGGTGATGATAAAAATGTATGATAGGTATTAACAGGAGATGGAGGGGGAACACAAGGAAGAGTGATTTGGGAGTTTGTCTAATTATCTGTGTTAATATCTATTTGGTTAGGTTACCTCCTGTTGGCACTTAATAGCTTCATGATCAGATTTCAGCCTCTTCATTAGGCCTTTTTGGAAGGCCTGTAAAGGTACTCAGAAATAACAGGAGAAGCCCCCTGAGCTAATTAGGTCTGTGAATTCATTAGCAGCTCCTATAACAGGTTTAGTGACAATGATTGAGGAACATCTGCTACTATGTCTTAGGATGCGTTCTGAATCACTTCTAGTCCTTTATACCAAACTAATGTCCAAATCTATGTTCAGATAGTTGGTTAGGTAAACTATATATTATATCAGTTTTTGCCAACAATTCAGTCACATTTAAAATATCAGAAAAATACACAAGCCTAATATTTGTCTGTCGTGTGCAACTACATTTGCTTTCTTTGCCTATGAGGGACAAAAGTGACAAAACCCAAAATAAATATATAAATAAATACACATATTAATGTACAAATGGATAAATTATTAAATATTATTATTAAATATATTTATTATTATTAAATAAAACAAGGAATGAACAAATAAATATGTTTTCATCATAAAAAAAGGCTAGTTCTATAGTTTTTAACTAGTATTTGTCTATTTATTTATGTATTTATTCATGTATTTTCTTCTTCTGCATTTATACATTTATGTACTTATTCATGTATCTATTTTTACATTCATTCGTTTCTACTTTTATTTATTTCTTCCAACATTTTTTTCTGTTCTTTTCTCTATTTCCAATTTTATTCATTTATTCATTTCTGCCTCCATTTGTTAATGAGGTGGGTGGTTCTAACGTTTGCCTTCAGCATGACTGGTTAGAGTGATGTGCATGATCCTACCTACTGCTACTGCCTAAACCAAAAGCCTAGACTCGAGTACCTGAGTTCTTATGATAGATAATTTTCCTGATGGAAAGTTCTTTGACAGCCATCGCCAATGATTTAAGCCTCTGGCGAATTATGTCGACAGTAACAAACTAAATGACTACTTCCAGTTTCGTTTGCCACATCCATCTCAGCTTGGAGCTGAGATGGATGTGGAGGTTGACTTGGCTGTATTGAACAGTCTGGAGGATGTTGCCAGCCAACTTGCCGTCCGCTCTGAGTCAGAGCGTGCAGTTACCAGTCTGAGCACGCAGTGAGAACAATGTACGGCGTTAAAACTCACAGACCCTCGCTGAAAACCTATCTGCTGCATGCTTAACTTTAAAACTGCTTGCTCAGCAATGTTTCTGGGCACGCTTGACTTCATCTCTGTATGTGCTCATGCTGAGCCCCACTCATTCGCTGTGTAATGGGTGTGATTCATTTACATACAGCTTTGCAACTTGTGAATGCTGAGATGAAGCTGAGCGGGTGAGTAGAGATCTGAGATTGTTTGTATTATAAAATATTGTTCTGCAAATTATATCAAATATATTATATTCATAGCATAAGTTGGCTTTTTCCACCCTAACCCTAAATATCTGCTCCTGCTCTGACTGACTTATTCAGTCAGTTGTTTGTCAGGCTAAGGTAGTTTTGTGCTGCACTTGATTTGGTTAAACATCTCTACAGAGGATATGCATTATCTGGCAGCTGCAGGTATCAACTAGTTTGATGGAAAATAGACATAAAAAACATGAATAGATTTTTGATTTTGCATGTTTTCCTATTTCTCAGCAATCTAAGAAAAAAAGTCAGCTTTTGATATGTATTTTTTTCTACAGTGATTTAGCCCCGAGACTTCCTCAAGGAAAGATACCATCTTCATCATGTGGTAAGGAAAATGTCCAACAGTGCCCTTTGCATAAGTTTGGTGCATGATTTACATTTTTCTTTCATTACTCCTAATGGCTTAAATTCAGTGCTTTAAAAATGAATCTTCCGGTTAATATTCATATAAAGCGACATAATGTTCTACTGCTGCAAGCACTGAATTAATGGTTTCAGAAAGATGATGATTTCATGTTTGTTGCATGAGCAGTTACGCCAGTGAAATTCATAATCATCCATTTTAAATGCCAGCTTAATCCTTACAGGGTCATGAGTGAGCTGGTGCCTATTTCCAGCAGTCAGTGGGCAACAGGCAGGTACAGATAGGTCGCCAGGCAGAGACACACCACAACCTTGGACACACACTGACAGACCTCAGAGAGGATAATTAACTTTAAATGAATGACTTTGGGCAGTGAGAAGGAAGAAACTGGAGTATCCGTCTTAGCATGAGGAAAACCCAGAATTAAAACCCAGGACCTTCTTGCGGCAAAGAATCTGTGATTCCTACTTTGGAAGCATTCAGCCAAGATTTAAAATCAGGTAAGGTTAACAATAATTACAGGAAAAAACCTGCACAATCTGTAAAAAGTTTTTTCATAGTATCTCACCAAAAATTGCTTCCTTCTCCTTCCTTCAGATGGCAAGTTCCTCCATTTTGGCAGGGGTTACCGATGCAGGCATGGATCGGTTCCTCACAGTTTTGTCCCTACAAACGTGCACATTTATTAAATCTGTGCCTTAACAGAACATCAGACATTGTAAAAATATCTAAACTGGCTGTAGTGTAGAAAAATAATTACATATTAATTATTATAAATAATTAAATATTTGTTTTTCACTTTTGGAAACATGGCATTGTTTAATGTATCACATTAAACAGTGTAAAACATAAGCAGACCTTTGAAGCAACATGAAAGTACCTTAAATCCATACGGGCAGGTGCAGCGGTAGTAGTGCACAGGGTCACTGGAGCATGTGCCGTCATTTTTGCAGGGGCTGGACAAACACGGATCACACTTGGCCTGGATACTCAAATCCACTGGGCCTGTGTGAGGCACCAACCCACACAAAACAACACATATACATGAAAAATGTATTCATAGCAACTTAATAACACTGATTTAAGCAAGTAGAGTAGGGGGAAATATTAACACTTACAAAACACTTACATGGCTGTATGTATTTATGGCCTTGCACAGATAAAATTAAGGTTTATGTGTGTAGTTTTAATGGTGATATGATGTAATAAACAAAGCTATGATGCAAAAAAAAGTTTCTTCCTGAATAAATTTGAATACGTTTGAATATAAAAAGAATTAAGAAGACCAATTAAACAGAACAACTAAAAGCAAAACAAAAAAAACTTTTAACCAAACATTGTGAAAGAAAATGATAAGGCACCTGGAGAAGATGTCTCCAATACAATAATTGCCACAAGTATTTGCTCATCTTAGACTTAGACAGACTTTATTGTCATTTTGTACACACATAGTGTATAGAAAAAGAAATTTTGTTCAGTACAGCTCTCAAGACATTTAAATTTTTTAAAAGTGCATCTGCATTAATATATGTTACAATTCATTTTAATTTAATTGTCTGTTTCTGCTTGAGGTTTCTTCCTGTTAAAAGGGAGTTTTTCCTCTCCACTGTCGCTACAAGCATGCTTAGTGTGAGGGATTGCTCAAGAGTCAATGAGTCAATGCAATCCACTGGTTTTCCTTAAATAAAAAACTTTGAATCAATCTGACTGTATTATTTGGTTGAATTGTGAAATGCTTTGAGATGACGTGTGTTGTGAATTGGCGCCATATAAATAAACTGAATTACATTTTTAATAGGGGTGTGGGGGAAAAAATTATATGGTGATATATTGTAATTTTTGGCTTCCCGGTATAATTTCAATCTTTCAGTTCCTAATATTGATTTGAAAAAATAAAACAAATTATTTCAACATCTATTGATGAACATACAGAGCACTTGCTTTTTTTATGTATACATTTACTTTTCATAGCAGGGAAAAATATTGCTATATATATTGATATTGCAATATCGTGATAATATCATATTGTGAAGCAAGTATCGTGATACATATCATATCGCAACAACCATTCCAATCCTAACCCCTAATTTAGGGTTTAATGAGGATTAAACTACCACAAGTAGCTATAACAGTTTCAATTATAGGTAAAGGTTTTTCAAAAGGTTGGTTAATACAATATCTTAGCCATTTTTCTTGAAGGTCTTTAATGAAGTCAGACATTGATGTTGGGAGAAAAAGAATCCTGTTCTTTGATCTCCACTATATATGATCTCTGAACTTATCTAACAGGTTAAGATTGGGCCAGTCAATTTTTTTTTCAAACATACTCATTCAGATTTTGAGATTATTTTTGTACATGGGTGACTTGTTTTGTTGGAAGAAAGAGGGACCATCTCCAAACTGTTCCCTCATCTTAATTTCCTGACAAATTGAGGGTTCCGTTACCTGGAAATCTGGTGCAGAGCCCAATTCCCAAAGATCAGCCTCATACCACATTCTCCGTCCGTCAAAAATCCCTTTCGCAAAAATATATCATTACTGTTCTTTTGGCAAACACATAACCAGGATTTATCCTTCAGACTGCCAGACAGACAGGATGATTGATCCCTGGACACTTAGACTGTCTCAAGGGACATAGTATGTTAAATGGTAGTGCATTTGTTCTTGGAATGCCAGACAGACACGACTGAGTAGTCATACTTAGCTCTAGAGCTGTGGCGTGCATAAACATGAACTGAAATCAAATAAAAAACAAAATTATATTAGACTGGATCTTAGTTACTTAAACTTGCTCTGAGAAGACTGAATGTTAAGATTAACCGGCTAGAAATAGTGGGGCCAGTTTTAATATAAATGCCCATTCTGGAAATATCAGTGACACCTGAAGGGGTATGATTGGTAGGAATAGTGCTTAAATCTGAACTTGAGTGGTGTTTCGTATTGAATCTTTGTAAAGGAATTATCCATAATAAACACCATGTTCAATAAGGCTGTTCCTCAGTACACCTGGCACAAGGACACTCTAGGCCAGGTTTGGATAAACAACTTTTTAATTGTATCTTTGGAGCCTCAGCTGTGTGTTTTTGACACTTAGGTAAAGAGAAGGATGGAGCTGTCCAAAGATCTCCCTCTGGTGGTGAGTTGAAGTTGGTCATGGAGGACAAAGGAGGGGCATTAAAGCCAAAACATTATGTAATTTGGCTGCATGGACCTTGCGAAAAAATCAAGCATAAACCAAGCTTAAAGCTACCAGCAGTACTTTGTAGGAGCCAACAGGGAAAAAAAATCATGGATCACATAAATCACACGTGATACAATGTCCATAACCTGTTATTTACCCTGGGCATCAATATGTGACCTGGATGGAGTTTTGACCGAAAGCGTCAATATTTGACAAGCTGGGAGTGAGAATGTATTGGTCTAGGTCCTGCATTGCATAGGACTACATATATGACCATGAAAGCTATTGGAAAACCTAAATTCAATTACATTTAGAGAGGTGAGCAAATACTTTTGCCGTCAACATTATACGACAAGAAAGTTGTCATATTCTGTGCATGACCATTTTCAATACAGAAGACATACAATATATTCCTAACCTTAATGGCAGAACATTCAACAACCAGATGGCACAGTGATAGGAACATGATAAGGGTCAAGAGGGAAACAAAATGGTTCAGTTTAGGTAGGATTTTCAAGATTGAGGAAAAAAGGGCTAGGATCATCCAGGAACCAGGGTTTGGAGGGGAAATACTGGGAGTTGACTGGCTACTTTACCTGGCACAGGAAAACCACAAGGCCCAGGAACTTCTACAGTGCGTCAGTCAGATTAGGTCAAAAATAGTTTTCAGTCATGTATTCAATTTTATTTTGAAATTATTAGGTTAAAACAACAAGGTCAACACTCAGTACTAGCTGCTTTTAGTAAAACTTCAAATCAAATCTAAATTTGAAGAGCTAATGGAAACATTAACAATTCACACAGATCTCCTAGCACTAATATGTGTTTTATCAATGTTTTAAATAAAAAAAAACTGGTATGGTTGCAAACTAAACATTGTACTTGTCACAAAGTGTTAGTGCTATGTTTTTTACATTTTTTTATTTGCAAAGCCAAATATCTTTATAATTTATGTGCTGGTGTTTTCTAACATTTGTCAGTGCATAACTTAATTTAGGATCTACCAACTCTAGCTTCTCTGCTTAAAATTTCAAGACAACAGTTAACTCCAATAATAAAAGAAGACCTTAAATCACCTCTCTTTAACAATAATAAGAATTTCACAATAGGTTTTGACATCATTTAGCTTAGTGTTTTCAAAGAAATACTTCATTTATTAAAAAAAAAAGTGTATCCAGACATCCAAACCATCCAGACCCTCGGAAGTTATTAAACCCTGACCCTATACCTTTTTATTATACAATTACTGAAAGTGAACACTAATAATTTTCAGATTTATTTCCCATTAAAAATTACAATTATTGCGTGATAATTGGTTTTAGTCGCTGCCCATTTTTTTCTGTTATGTATTGTACAATTGGTTTGATAACCTAAAGAAAACAGTTCTGGCTTTAACAAATTCATAAAGGTTTTTAACAGGGCAAATGCATGACAAAATTGAAAGTTTCCAAAAATGTGAAAATGTTAGTAATCAACTCTAACAGCAATGATACTGGTTCGCATTTAGAGGCTGTGTTGTTTTGATATCTTAAGAAACGATCACACAGAAAACAATATTGAAAGCATTACGTAGTTAAAATATATAAAATGTATTACTTTTACCAAAACCATTTGTCCACAGATACCATCAGCTTACTGTTTCTCAAATCAAACTTGTCAGATTTACATGCAACATAATAATGTTGTTGATGATTTACTGTAATTAGCTGATGCCAAACATTTAAATGTTATTTAAACTGATCTGATTATTGAGATGGATCCTGATATTAAAGCAAATCATATAGATTAAATTAAACTGAAATATTAAAAAATATGTTTTTCATGGTTCCTTAGGTAAGGTTTCAGATCTGCACAGTTTCTGGGGTTCAACTTTCATTGGACGCTCCTCTATTCAGGAAGATTCCCTGTTATTTTCCTTGCGAAACAGAAGCTAGCTATTTTAGTTGAAGCAGTTGTATTGTTCTTTCTTGTTGTTTTCTTTTTTTCTTTTTTGTTATTTTGTACTTCAAAAGGAAGACAGAGAGTGCTGAATGTTTTTAGAGGTAGGTCTGTTTGTTGCTGTGATATGATATTGTAGACATGTGCCTTTACCTGTGCAGGTAAACTTCTTGGAGGGTGTTGTTAGGAGTAGCTTGTCAGTCATGTCCCCGGGCCCAGCACAGCGGGCGATGCCAGGCTCTTTGTAGCCACTCTTCACCCAGTCAGACAGCCACTGCATGTGGCAGTCACAGTACAAAGGATTGGCACCCAGAGCCCTGCAGCATGAGCATAAGGAAGATTGAAAGCAATATCCTCCACAATGAATGTTTAGAAAGTTAAAGTCAGACTGTCACTGTGTGTAAGAACACAAGAGCTGCAGCTAGATTAACAATGTTTTAGAATCTGTAAAATAGTAAATTGTTCTGAATAGTAAAAATGAAAGATTTTCGGGATCTTAGAAAGTAACCTCATAGAGACAAGTTCTTCTGTAATACGATGGATTTTAAGAATTACAGCATTTATAATTTAGCAACTGTTAAAATCCTTAAAAACTGGAAAGTATTTGATGGCGCTTTATCTCAAGTCTTGAACTGTTCAATGAACTAAATAAAAAGATGGTGTGTGTTACTTTGCTTTATGCAGACATTTTTTGTTTTCTCCATAATAACGGAGAGTATGGATATAACAAAAATGTTGTTTTCTGATGCTGTAAAGGTCACTTTAATTAAATTATTGTTTGGATTTGGCAACAGATTTTTGATACTCACAGATGAGACAGGGATGACAGGTCTTTAAAGGCTCCCTCTGGAATCAAGGATATGTCGTTACCATGGAGAGATCTAAGTCAGCAAGAGGTTTAAAAGCAGAGAGGAAAAAGAACATCAGAAATGAGGACACCCGGATTTTAAAACCTGATTAGGTACGTGTCTACATTGACAGCTTATTTTTTTCTATGTAAAAAAAAAAAAAAAAGAAAAAATCAGATACTCACAACAAACGGAGAGACATGAGACCATCGAATGCCCTCACTGGGATGCATCTTAGACGGTTGTAGCTCAGGATTCTTTTTAAAGAAGTAAAAAAATTGAGTTTATGCTCAATAAAAACAATATAAAGCAATCAGGCATAGAATTATGACCACCTGCCTAATAATAGTGCATTGCTCCCTGTTTTTGCCACCAAAACATGTGATTCATCAATAGATGGATTAAAATAGAACCCTTAAAGTCTGCCGTGCTATATGGCAACATATTACCAGCAGAACCTGGTAGTTCTCCAAGTTCAATCTGTTCTTCCTTGTCAGCACATCTCACAACTTCTTAAATTAAATGGATTCTTGGGATTTTCTTCCATTGTGTGCAACAATTTTGCAGCTTTTTAAACTTGGTGGGTTTTTTTTTTTTTTTTGTATTTGTGGTATTCTTTCTTTTTTACTGTCTGTCTTTAATAGTTGTAGCATTTTTTGTTTTTTTAGTTTGAAGATTGTGCTTATACTTTCTGTGATTGTAGAATCTTTCTTATTTCATTTTCTTTTGCATTTGTTTTTCTTCTGTTGTTTTTGTAATTTACATCATTCATGTGTTTGTGACATGTTTTTCTGTTTGTGGCAAATGTAACTGCTTTCTGTGACCTGCCAGCCAGAGTACCACACCCGTACCTTAATGATGTGATTTGATTTAGTTTAACTGTGATATCTAAATCAGCTCCATGGAATATAATCTGAGTCTGTGTAAATAACTTTTGTAATTCAACCAGTTGATGTTTTTTTTTTTTTTTCTAGCATATTTTAATAAACCAACTGCGTTTTCAAAAACATTTTCGGTAGATGCTAGATAGACCCACTGTGACACAATCAGTCACATTTATTTGAGTATTTAGTATGTAACACTTAGGCAAAGGTAAACAGTGGCTGTGTCTGAAACATCCACCCTAACCCCTAAATCCCTCAAACACTATATAGAGTGGGGACTATGTAATGGTGTTTATAATGAACTGAGTTAACTGACCGTTCGGACAAATGATCACTACTCTTCTATCCCCGCTGATCACATAACTCTGCTTCCACCACGCAGTGGCTGTACCATCTTTGTTATTAGTTTCCGTTGTCGGTAGCGACAGCCATCAGTGACAGCGGGCCGCCGTGGCAGCAAATCGTATAATGCTTTACAAGGAGGGCTCTCAGTGCAAAGCATTCCGGGATATACCTACTCGTCTAGTGACCATGGATGATCACTACTTTTCAAGGTGCATTATGGTAAATTTCAAGTACACTACTTTTTCATCCACTAGACATTCGGACACTGATCTAAAATGGCTTAACCACTGTATAGTGCCCTATATAGTGATTAGGGTGGACATTCCGACACAGCCAGTAAGAGCATCTTATAGTACTTCTGCCAAATTATGCCTAGGAACAACAGATATGCACACGCAGTGATTTCCAAGCCAAGTCCACACACACACACACAGACACACACACAAACACACACACACACTTGCACCCAAATTACAGAGGGACAAATGTGAAGCCAGACTCACAGTGTAAGCAGCTCAGACATGTTACTGAGGCTGTGGTTGGACAACGTGCTGATCTGGTTGTTACTCAAATCACTGAAAAGGAAACAACAGATGCATAAAACACACACAGAATCATGCGTGCGAAACTGAATCCACACAGCACACAGATTACAAACAGCAGATAATCATTGTTTGTTTTCATTTGGTCTGACTGTTACACCCTCATCAGTGCCAGATCAATATGATTCAATACAGAAATCTCAAACAGCAGCAGCGGTCTGTTAGAGTTTGGCTTTGAAATATCAGCCGAGTCACTGTCCTCCATGTATGTTTGTATAAACTATTTTGTCTCAATGGTTTGTTGGTTAGTTACTCCTTGTTTATTGAGCTAAAACTTACATAAGTGTTAGGTGTTTGTAATTTGAAAGCTCCACTGGAACCTGGGTGAAATGGTTTCCATCCAAATACCTGCAGACAGAAACAAAAAACAAAAACACTCATAAAAGGGATTTGTATACAAGATTTGGGTAGATCAAAGAGAAATATGAAAAGTTAAAAGGAAAGTCTGGGAGTGAAAACCAAATGAAGTTGCGATTAAGAGCCAGGCAGGAAATTCCCTATTTCAAACGGTGTAAGCAGCCATAATAAACACTGAAATGCAATATTCCCATTGGAGCCTCACACTTTTTTTTGTATGACGCACACATGAAAAACATTGGTGAGATAATATGTTTTTTTTTTCAGCACAGATGGATATAGATCGAGGTTTCATTGATTGAAATGTAAGCAAATATTAAGAGTAGTTGTTTTATAACAAATAAAACTAACTCTGGTGCCTGGTTTTAATTCTAAAGTTACCGTTTCTTCTTTTTCACACGAGTGGATCTACCTCAGATTTTAAAGTTATGGGACGAAAAAAGCTGTAGCTTCTCCCAGGAAGCTTCAGCAGGTTTAAAATGGAAAGTTTAAGAATAGTCTCTACTAAAGGTTTGATAGTTTCCTGCTCCAGAGCATGCAAAGATGTCTTAAATGTGCTGATCTTAAAAAAGCATTGGTTGCTAACTATACAGGTTATAAGGCAACTTCTAAACAATTCAGAAACTTGTGAAGGAACTGACTGAACTAGAGATGTTCTCCATGATGCACAGCATCACAGCATAAATACAACTCAATAACTGTCAAACACGGGAGTGGAGGGCTTATGGTATGGGACTGCCTTCCTGCCTCAGTCACTTTGCATCTTATAGCAATGCAGTCAACCATAACCTCTGTAAAGCAAAGTATTCAAGAGAAGAGAAGTTCTCTCTCTAACAGAAAAAAAACCGAGTCATCATTATTAGAGTGATCTCAGACACAGGAGCCACAGCCTTAGAAGAAAAAGCAGAAAAGAATCAGGTCATCTAAGGTCTGGTTTCAATCAGGTTTCCCTTCAACCCCATCAAATCTCCAAGAACTGAAACAAAGATCTAAGGAGGATTGGGCCAAAGATTGGGCCTTCCCCAACCGATACAGTCATGCACAAAACAATCACTTTTGTAAAGTATTGAATCATGATTTTTCCATGACTGCATTGACAATCATGGAGGGGTTTTCCTTTAACTGTATGTTTGGTTACTCCTCTGCAGTCAATTTTGGTTTTCTATTTATTATTTTATGTGGAGCTTTAATCAGCTGGATTTAAACCAAAATTATTTTTTTAAAGTTAAAAAGTAACCTTTGTGTTCACTAGCCTTTTTCTTTGCGTATGTAAAGCAATTAAACTGACATTTAGACCCGTAAATGTTATTTATGCCCATTGGTTTAACAGACAGCTTTAAAGGGGGTGTAATACCAGCAGTCCCAGATCATTTCTTCATCCCTGACTTGGTATTTTGACTTAGTGATAGTTTAGCATAAAGAGCAAAATAATCTAGTTCCTTGGGGGGAAAATCTGACATTACTTTTAAGTAATTATTAAAAAAAGAAAAGTCTATATCAAATAGCTTCAAATTTGTCATCGTTTCATTTAAAAAACAGTCACAAAATATTTCTAAATCACTTACTAATGTTCAAATACAACCAAACAATAAAAGCTAATTAGTTATTTTTTAAGGTTAATGGTCATTTAAATAATAAATAGCATAAAAATACAAATATTTTTCCCTTTTTATTGTATTTATCTGAAAATGTATTGTAAAAATGATCTGTTACTTTTTAAGCCATCTAATACATTGCTTGCATTCTTGTTTTCATTTCAATGATTTATAGTAAAAAAAAAAAAAACATAAAACAGAGCACAGTCTAAACAAAACACCAAGCTGTCACCATGAATACTTTACAATAAAATGTTCAAATTCACTTAAAGGAATAGCTGAGGGTGTTCTTTTTCCGAGTGGATCATCAAAATAAGTGGTCCTCCTAATTGTCAATCATTCTGGTGATATGTATTTGTAAGGCCGTCCTACGTGCTCGTCCCCATTTTCACTTAGCGGTGGAAAAATACATAGTGGAAAAATAGCCAATCTTCTTTTGGAAAGTAAGCTTGACTGAACGATGCAAACAGCAACTTTTAAACAGAGTGCACAAGGAGAAATGGGCTTGTGCACGCTCTCGCACGCATTTAATAGGCATTCCCTCCTCTGAGCGGGTACAGGGTTGTGCATCTGCTTTTTTTTTCTAAAGTAGAGATGGTGGGTCTTTTCAAAAATTCTAGGAAATCCTTCACTGTTCCTTTAAGAGAAAACAAAAGGATTAATAGCTACATTCAACTGTTATATGTATAAACAAAAATCCTTATAGTCTTTTAAATAAGACCTAAAAATCTCCCAGAATTGACAATATGACTCCCTTCAGTTCTGAGGCAACTAATGAGATACAAGTTCTGTTATAGCCTTAACCCATACCCTAAAAACACAGTAACCATCTAAACTCTTACACTTATGTAGAATAGCTCAACCTGCTAAAACCAAACCTGTTAGAACAGTCACATTTTCTTTGCAGCATATTGGTTTTTAAGGACCTAACTGCCAATAAGCATAACTAAACAGAGGTGGATCGATTCATGCCCAACAACACCTTTTTCTACTTTTTATATTATTCTATTCAAGGGAGCTTGAAGCATGGGGCAGGCCCACAAACCATGAATAATTATACCTTCTTAGCTCCAATGTTTAGAACTGAGATTTTCTAGAAGGATTCCCACCTTTAAGAGTCATGTGGGCTTCTCCTATAAACCATCCCATAGATTTAACTCTTTTCCACCATGCGTCTGATATCGAGCTTCAGGTCTGTCAGCAATACAAGTTTCAAACTCACTACTGTCATACACTACATTACATCAGAAGACATTATATATATATAATTGGCAATATTTTGATGTAACATTATCAGCAGAAATTTGTGGCAGAAACTGAATCTGAAATGCTCAAATAAAATAAGTATGCAATTAGATATCAAATGGATTGATTTGAAAATGAATTTTACAACACTGAAAAATAAGGAGATCATATATCACTGTATACAGGTAAAAGCCAATAAATTAGAATATTTTGAAAAACTTGATTTATTTCAGTAATTACATTCAAAAGGTGTAACTTGTACATTATATGTATTCATTGCACACAGACTGATGCATTCAAATGTTTATTTAATTTAATTATGATGATTTGAAGTGGCAACAAATGAAAATCCAAAAAACGCGTG